TGTTTCAGTTAGATATTTAGTGGTGCATAATCATAGTTACCATTTCTGTGTTTCCAAATAAATCACAAAGGAGAAATTTAAAGTCTGAATACCCATTCTCTTTGCTGTATTTATTCTGTATTATCTAGTTGTTTATATCAGGGGGTTTTCTTTAAGTAGACCCATATGCATAGAGGCAAGCAGAAACAGCTCAGTAAGTTGTTGAGTTTTAATAAATGAACAACATTAAATTGACAGCTTGGTAAAAAAATAAATAAATAAAATAGGTTGGCATTAGTACAAGCATTGCATGGCAGGACATGGCATGTTAAACAGTAAAAACCTGTGACATGCTGAAAACCCAGAGATGATGTGAAACAAATGAGGCTTATTATGAAGCAGTGGTTGAAAACGGAGTAAAAACATAATTGGATATGACCAGAGTTACAAGGATATAATCTAACTGATACTAGTAAGAGAAGACTGACAGTAAAACTGAACATATGAATAACTGGAAAACTATAAGCATAGATATACAGAAACATTGGAAATGGATCTACCAAATAGGAGCAAAGAAAAGAGAAATGACATGTCAAAACCAAATGGGTGAAACCTAAACAATGAAAAAAACATGTATCCAATTAAAAAAACAAATACCTTAAGAATATGAATAGCCTTGTAAAAGAGATTGCTGATCTCAGGGAAACTTTAAATCAAAAATAACACTACATATAAGTCATATCTTTCGGGACTAATACAAATAAAGCTCAAAGAAAATAAAAGATTGTGACTAAATGAAGTTGTTTTTTTCTGGAAAAATTTAAAGTCTAATCTCACAATATCAAAAAATGCAGCAGGCCATCACAGTTTTGTTTGAATGAGGAAACATGCTAGCAAGAGGAGGATTTATCGAGGACGAAACTATGTAAAGAATGCAAAAGTCACCCGTAACACACAGTACCACATACCCTCTGGTTCAATGATTTATTATCTCAGTCATTAAATGACATTTAGAATTCTTAATAGTCTGGATATTTATTCAACCAGTCTTTGCAAAGCATTTAGATTGCAACTAGGGAGCATATTACATACTGCTGTACAGATAAAAATTACCAACCTTTATATGCTTTCTGCTATACACTAAAATCTGTTACAGAAAAAGACATTTATTACCTAGAATAGCATGTATTAAATAATCCACTACCAGCTACCATATAAATGTCATAGCAGTGAGCAATGACAAAAATCAATGCTACTAAAAAACTGACTAGAAATAGTATGAACCAGGGGAAGCAGATAAAATTTCAATCCTTCTTACCAGTGGTGTTTGTTTAAGATTTAGATAGTAAAATACATTTTAAGGCTCAGAGCCTAACTGTCAAGAGGACAAACAATTTTCCAGGCAAAATTCAGAGAGAGAATTCATATTAAACTTTTGGGGATCTCACCTAAAAGCAGAAGCTTTAGTTCCCGTTTAAGGTTTTTTTTATGAAGTTGAAGTTGTTTCTCTATTTCTCTGGATATCCTCCGGCTCTCCTGCTCTTCAGGGGACAAGCAGCACTCGTCCATTGTTATCAGAGTCAAGCAGCTGCTTGTTTGACAAAGTGTCACAGCTGATGGGGATTACTCAGATAAATGTATACTAATGTTGTCAGACCTGCTAGGTCATCTTTTTCCCGAAAACAATACGCTGTTGGTGACTTTCTGTGGGCATTCTTCCTCATACTGGATCCAGTTCAGGTACATTTTACCTCCCTGCCCTACAGGAGGAGGAGTCTAGCTGAAAAGCTGTCTGCTTTCACATTCTTTGAGGTTAAAGCTTTTTTTCCACTACGAAGTACAAATTGGAAACAAATGATAATATCTAATGGGTATGCCTTTTAAGTTAAATAGGTTTAAAAAAATTCACTAAAAGTAAAGATAAGTAAAAGACAAGGATACTTTTTATTTGATACAATTGAAAGTGACGATACATGTGTTAATTCTGATTGTACAATGCATGACTCATTGAGTTTTATCACATGTATTTTATAAATATGACAAAAATATGACATAATATATGTTTAAAACATTTTACTCATTTCATTATCTGTGTGTACAAAAATAAAAACATGTAGGCCATCAACTTGCAATCTTTCTCTTAATCTGTGCATTTAAAAGCTGTAAGACTTTGCATTCTTCAAGGTGCATTCTTCCTCCACAGAGCTGTGCTAGTTAGACGTTGCATGATTGAGTCAATTCAAGGTTGGGCGACACATTCAAAGGCCTATAATCCCAGGTGGGTATAAGGAATCAGTAGTAATGCTGTTGTATGTGTATTGTGTGCAGACAAAGGATTTTCACTCTTTACAACTTCAAATGAATACATGTTGCAATAAAATTGAATTTAAGGCCTGTGTAGATCTAAAGTATGGCTCAGTGCTAGAATTTCTCTTATATTTTCATTTTTTAAGAAAGCAAAAACAAAGAAGAAAGCTTAACAGATAACAACCGGAAAAAAAAAAAAAAAAAACACTTCTCCATCCTTCCTCATTCGAGGTTTAAAAAACTCATATTTTCTAAAAAGATTGTGTCTTTGACTGAATTGAAGACAACTCTGATGTTTTCCGTGTCCGTGGCACAGGTAAAGTGTGTGTAGAGAGGTTTGTGACGACCTTTGTGGAGCTGAACATACATCTTCTCAATAAACTTCTTTGCAGATTCAGCATCTCCTGTAGGTCCTGTGAAAGAGAAAGTTCATGATTTAAACAGTGCTACTTGAGATCTGAATTTCCATCAAATCCACACCTAAAATGAGTGTTCTGAAGAACATTCATTTTAGATGTGTATAGACAACTCCCATGCCTTCATATAAATTAGTAAGTATAAAATAATTAATTAATAAGTTTTGGGTACTGACAGTAAAATTAAGGTTTTCTGTTTACAATGTCATTATCTTGCTTGTCACAATATTGAAAAGGTAGATATTGCATGCAGAGAGGCAGTGATGTGCATGAACGGGTCCAATGAACTGCTTCCACTGAATACATTCATTTTTTTAATGAACGATGAACTGAACGGATCAGTTTTGAAGTAATTATGGGAATAATGAGCAACACACACCTCTCACGTTCGCGTTCAGTTGATAATGACATTTTTTATTGGATAACTTCAGGTTTTACAGCACTTATTACAGCGACCAGCATGTGTACTGCTAGGACTAGCCTGCATGATTCTTATGCCAGTTTTGCAGAGCACTTGGCAGGGTATTATGAACAAACAAAGTAAACTCTGACAGAAAATCTAACATTTTTGTGCAAACTGTGCCCACCGGGACTTAACAAACAAGTCCACACGGTAGCCATGTCCACTTCAACTTTAAAGCCACACATCAAGTTAAAGCATCTGAGCTATCTTAGGAAATCGCTGCTACTGAATGAGGAACATCAGAAATAATTTTTGATGCATATCTTTTCAGCAGAACCTGAATGTTCCTGTATGTTTCTGAAGTTCTGTATAATTTGACTAAATAAAGGCTTCTATGCACATACAGTATATCTTGACTGCATCAGTTATTTTCCATTTCTTTCTATATATTTTGACCACACATATAAAGGGTAAAATATTAGGTTTTATTGTGTAGGATTGTGTTTTTTATTTTCCAAATGAACTTGAACTAATTCATGTTTAGCAGTGTGAACTGAACTTTGAGCTACTTCTTTTAAGTGTGAACTGGCACAACATTGCAGACAGGTTCACTTGTAGCTCAAGTCTAATGACATTTAATTTCTTTTTCGACACAAAATGGGGAAATGGAGGAAGAACATATGGATTTCAGATACTCCCTTTGGTGTCTTTGATTTGAAAAATAAAGCTAACAAGGATGTAGACTTAAAATCTGCAAATATGAATTGTAAATCTAATAAAGGGAAAGTTTGATATTGTTATGATATTGTCATATCATCTAACTTCAATAATACAATTTTTACATCAGAACAGAAATATGCTAAATTAACCTTTGTAGTCAGGGAAGAAGGTTGCCAAATCTGATGTCTGTATTTTCTCTTCGAGCAGGTCTTTTTTATTCAAAAAGAGGATGGTGGACGACTCCTGGAACCAGTTGGATGAGGTAATTGTCTTGAAGAGGGCCAGGCTCTCAGCCAGGCGGTTCTAGACACAAAAACAGGAAATCTTGACAAAAGCTCAAGATGAGCTGTTAGAAGCTGAGTAACACATAATAATAGATTGGACATACATCTGTGTCACTCTCAAAAAGAACTTGGTCATATTCATTGAGGGCTGCCAGAAATATGACAGAGGTGACATTTTCAAAGCAGTGGATCCATTTCTTCCTTTGGGAGCGCTGGCCGCCCACATCCACCATCCTATAAATGCAGGAATGCTGGTTATTATTTTGTTTATCCCCTCTCTTGCAGACGTTAGACAACAAAGATTAACCAAAAGAGAAAAAAAATTATCTCAGTTTAGAGGAAACATGTTTTGCACACAGATGTTTATTCTTTTTCAGCTAATAAGAAAATGATAATACCTGAAAATGACGTTTGACATGTTAAACGGGTACTCTATGATGCCCGAGGTGGGAACCCTGACCCGTAATATATCCTGCAGAGTGGGAATGTAGTCTGGGGCTGTGATTCTGTCCAGGTCATTTAGATAACTGAAAAAAGAGCACTGTAAAGAACTTGGTACTACCCAAATTATTCTTTGTTTATCAGTCTTAATTACCAAGAGATGCACAAATTATATCACATGGAAATTACAAGAAGAGTGTGTGAAACTTGTTGCTGAGTAGAAATCTCAAATGTCTCTTTAAGTAAGATCTTCATAATTAAGTAAATCAGTTATCCATGAGGTGATATTGCTGTATTATAATCGAAGGCAAAAAGACTTATTCTCTTTGTTACAGTAGAAATTTAGCCTTTCATCCATTAGGCTATTTGTTAAATATTTCAGTTAAGAGCATTGCAAACTGTAGCTTTAGAGCCTTTAAGGCACGGTCCCAAACTCCTATTCTTATAGCCTAATGTCCTGCATCTTTTAGCTGTTTCCCTTGGCCTTACACACCTGAATTGAATATTAAACCTGCCTACTAGCATGCAGTCAGTCTCTACATAAAAAAAAAAAAAGAAATTGATATGAACTCAGTAAAGCACATCCAGATCTTTTTGATATGCATGCTATTAAGGTAAGAAACAAATTGTGATAGAATGATTTAACTAATACGTGTAACTATACCAAAAAAAAAAAGCATCCAGATGATTAAGATTCAACAAAAAAGAGAGAAAGAATATGAGGCCAGAGGAAAATCTTTTGTCAAAGCCTCTGATTAACATGAATGTGAAAGAATACTTAACAGACAAATGAGAAAAAAATAACGTAAAAAAACAAAACAAAGCATACTATTTAGAAGAGTCTGACAACTGGAACTCCCGTCTCCTGTCATAACACTGTTGCACTCCATGGTCATTCCACACTCGCTTAATGGCATCCACCTGCCAGGACTCCAACGTTAACACCATGATGACATCCACTTCTTTCAGTTTTTCAGCATAGCTCTATAACAAAAGAAAAAAAAACATCTAAAACTAAATATAAAAATACAAACTTTAAAAAATATATATGTTTATACTTAAAAATATGTTTATACTAACTAGCTATTAACCTTTTTAGGCAGATAAATAGTGTGTCATGATGCAATGTTTTCATTGTCAAAATAAGACATTTCAGTATTCTAGAAATGTACAGGCAATTCCCTCAGCTAAAGTAAGAACCTTTAAAGAGCCTTTTGTGAATATATTCATGATAATAGCTCTCTTCTCCCTGAAATAGAAAGATTTCATACAACTATGAGCTTGACATAAAAGCAAATACATCTTTGGAGTAGTAGGAGCTAACAAACTAGATAGATTAGCATCAACCACTTAAGGAATTTAAAACAATAGAACCTGAAAATGTTTTATCAGTTTCAAATAAAGTTATGATTTTGTATGATTTTTTAGTAATGCTTTTTTGTGCTCTCAAGGTCTCATTGTCAGGAATCCAGTTTCTGTGGTCTGTTTTGTGTCTGTCTCTCCCTCCATCACCAGGTGGCGACCTGTCATTGTTGGTCCTCCCTGCACACCTGCGGCTCTTTGGATCATTATCTGGAGGAGTACTTAAGCAGTGGACTGTCACTACCTCGACGCCAGAGTGTTTGCCAGTTTTGGGTACCCTAGCCATGCTTAGATTAGCTGAGTCTAACCTGAGTCTTTGTTTCACTGAGTCAAACTGAGTCTTTGTTTCTCAGAGTCTAACCCTGTTTTTGTCTTTGCCTTTGGCAGGAAGTCCTCCTGCGTACTAGAAGTTTGGTCTTTTTCCCCTGGAAAGATTGTTTTCTGAATTCACACTGAGCAAGCGAGAAACCTCCACATGTGCCGTTGGACTGTTTACTGAGTTCACACTGAGAAGGGGAGAGAACTCCACATGTGGCGTTCAAGTCCCTCACGGAAATTCAAGTGACAGTCCGCTCCAGTGCTCCTCCGGGTCCAAAGAATGTCTACCTGTCCACTCTTCAACATGTCAACCCACACAGACTGGATGCAAAGTGAGAGAAGAAGCCCCCCAAACGTGAGTCCCTCACTAGCATTTTCCTTACAGCATTCAAGATTCCCACGTTCCCTGAACTAACAGTTTTGATTTGCCTCTAGACTTCCTAGTTCCTGTTCACCAGCTAACTGAGTTCCAGATCATACCCCCCTTCTACCCTTACCTCAATAAACCTGTTAAATCTTTGCCTTGCTCTCTGAGTGGTTCTCTGCATTTTGGGTCAGACCTCTAAAACACATCATGACACTCATAGTTTAAAATATAAACAAAAAACAACTCTGCTGGACTTAAAAGCAGTCCATGAGGGAAGATGGGAAAAAATATTACAGACATTTTAAGAAAGGGGAACTTGGCGACTGTGTCTGCCAGCTTGTAAACACATTTTGTTTTTTTAACCTTTATTAGGACTAAATATCACTAACATATGAACCCTCAATCATTTTAAACTTCAATATAATTCTTTTAGTTTACTTTAAAAGTAAGAATATTAAAAAACAGACCATGGAATCCGGCTCAATTTCCTGATCTGCCTTGATAGATCACCTTTAGTGTTCATGTCACTCATCTGCCTAACTCTGCCCGGTCCCTAATTTTCACTGATCTCATCCACCTGCATCTGTTCCTTTATATTGTGCTCAGTTCCAGCTATTGGGGCCAGATCATTGTTTGTTTGGTTTCTGTTTCTCCTGTCTCTCAGTTTTGTTAGTTTAAGTTATATTGAGAGCGTTTCAGCGTCTCCCTTGTGATTCTGATTGCCTGATTCCGTTCCCTGTTACCCATTGGCCCTGTCCGTCCCCGTCTGAACCATCCTTGGACTCCTACTGGATTCTGCCTGTCTGCATCTGTGTTTGTCCGTCTGTCTCTGAACCTGCCTTCACACTCTGTGGGTTCCTGGAACCTGGGTCTGTCCGTTCCTGTGTGGATTGGAACCCCTGACCGGACTGCGGACTCCTGGATTACAGATCTACTCCAGTCTGATCTAAATCCCTGTCCTAGATCGGAGTCCTGCCTCTTCATTGGGGCTGCTGCATCAGGGATGCTCTGGACAGCTCAGAGCCGCATCTCGTTGGCAGTGCATCGGCTAATCCTGCCTATTATTGAGAGGATTGACTGAACTATTAAATCAGATAAGTGACTAACTTGGATAATCGTCTCCTGTCAGGTGATCGTGGACACTCACCAATGTTTCTCTCACAAGAGTGTCAGTGATTGTGCGATGCCCCGCCCCCTCCTACAGTCGCCGTGGTTGCCGTTGTTTTGAACTTTCCTACTGACCGTCTCACCTTGAATACTGGGTCCATCTGTCCCGTTTCATGACACTCAAATCTAGTAGAAATCTATGTTTGGTTTCTTTTTACCCATAATATTATTCTTTTTTGACAGGAGACATATCAGAGATCATATGGGAAGAGTGGGGCTAATTTCTGATGCTTTTATAGTTTGTTTTTGTTATTTTCCCAAACATGGTACAGGAAGGTATAATTAAAACATGTTTTTTTTTTTTTTTTTTTGTCTCTTCATTTAGTGTACCCTTATATCTTATTTCAGCTCTTGAGGATTCATAAGTCTCTTGGTGCTTCTATTTTTTTATCCACACTCTGTAATATGCCATTGTCCGTCCCTCCTTATAAATATATAAAGCTAGGTTTATACTTGGTGCTTTGAACAGGGTGCGAGGGTCAATGCCACAATACTGATACTGTAAGGTTGCCTGCACCACCATGTGTGGGCTCATCTTGCTTTGACATGCAGTCATACACTTATTGTATAAACAAAAGTCCAGGTTTTCTTACAATATTTTGGTCATCCACATATTCGATTTTAAGAGTAGTCATGGCCTCAATCAGTGCCTGGATGGCTGTGATGACATTCTGATACACCAGTTTGATGAAAGCTTTCCTGTCAGAATCACTGTATCCTTTGCCATGGATGATCCTCATCTGCTTGATGAATGTGCTCTTCCCACTTTCACCAGTTCCTAATTAGAAGGAAGTAGATAAACCATAAAAAGCAGAGTCAAGTTAAAATCACTCCTCTTATAAAAGCTACATAAAGTGCCAAAACCATAAAGGTAAAGCAAATGTTTTTTAGTGGTCATTCACAATTTTCAGGCACTTTATGGTGCTGAGACCACAAGCTTACTGTACATCCAAAGTAAGTGTGAGACCTAAATTTTAAAGTAGTACAATGAAAAAATTTGAATAGGTATTTTAGTAATCAAACTCTTATTGTAATTGTGCACCAGCTTTCCACTTGTTTTTCTAACACATTTTTAACACAAGTTTTGTAGTGTAAAGAATAATGATGAGATGTCTTTATGGAAACAAGACAATTTGAATAAAGGTTTCAGTGTTTTGCATTTTAAAATATCCCATCCGCTGTTATCCTGCAAACAGTAAAAACATTAATCTGTCTGCATGGAGTAATCCTCATATATGCCCAATACACCTTTTTGAGTGTTTGTAAGCATTAAGATCTTTTTGGGTTCTAACAATGTAAATTTTAAATGAATAGCTTATATGTATAATGTTAAAACACTGAATTATTAGCAAAACCATTACAATACACAGTAAGGCAATATATGACTTATGTTGAAAAAATGCCTGATGCATGACGTCCACTTCATTGGACACATGGTTTTTCGTAATTTGCTGCATATTAAACAAAAAATATATATATTTTAAACTGATCATATCCTTCCTTAGATGTTACTGTAAATCATTATATATTTTTTAACCTGTTGGGCTATTTTACAATAGATGGACTGAGAGAATATGCAGCACTGGTCAAAAGGGGTTGTGTTTGTTGGCTATCTTGGATTCAGATTAAATTTACTTGCAGTTACAATGACTGACCACTAAATTGACCTCAAAGGAGTGGGGCAGCAGAGAGCATTCTAGACACTAATATGCAGTTTCACTATCGAAACCAAATAATTAAAGAGATATTTACTTTGTAGTAGCTGTCCACTACAGTGACCACTATGCACCAATTTGGCCACTTTTTATGTTGCATTCACTATTAGAAATGCTGGGGTTTTTAAATTTCAAAATTTATACAACCCAGCAAGTTAAAGGTCTTATAATACATATAGAGATATAGGAATTCCATTACTCTCTTTAACAAAGCATGCACATGGTTAAATTTTTGCCCAAAAGTAGGTGTCTGCGACATTACTGTCAATAGTTTTCATCTAAGATTTGGTAAGAAGATAGTCAAGTCTATTGTTCAATTAACTGTATTATGCTGGTACCACCATCATTCACTGGGAAAAGGTGTGTTCTGGGCGACATGCAGTATTTTTCACCATACTCAGGGTTTTGCATGTAGGAGTAAAACTATGATTTTCACTCCACCTTGCCTCCTACAAAGCTCTTATTAATATGCATCTTTGACTCCCTGTGGCTCTGTCTAAACATTCACTTTCATCTAGACACTTGATCATTGAAGCTAGAGAGTACAATACTCATGGTCCTGTCAACAGACTCTCAAACCTCAGTTGTAGCTACTCTGGAATTACTTGTTATTAGCCTAGCCAGTAAATGCTGACGGTCTTGTATTTGAGTTTAACTGAGGTGTACTTTAATAAACTAACCATGCTTCAAATTCCTCCACAACTGAATCATTTTTTTTCCTTGCTCTGAAATATGCTGCTTACCAGTTATACTGAGATTTGGGAAAAAAAGAGGTGAATTAGGTTTACAAATGAGGTTACTTCTGAAATGTCTTTGCATTTGATCAAATACAATTGCTTGTCAAACCTCATAGTTTTTTTTTTCTTTTAAAAACATTTGCTAAGTATGTATTATTATCCCTCAACTTAGTTATTTTTGAACTACTTTGAGTTGGTGTACTACATGACAATAGAATACAATATGGAAATGTTTCTGAAAGGTGGAAAAATGCGGAAAGGTTTAGGCATTTGGAAGAATTTTCAAAGCACGGTATATCAGCTAATCCAGATGCAAGATCTCCTAAACAAATAAAATTTCCCAAACGTCTATTTTAATTATAGTGATGCAAAAGAAAGTCATGATCACTGAGCACAAACCAAGAACAGACATAGCTCAGCTGAAGAACAATACCACCAAACCCACAATTAAGATACTTGACAAGTAGGATAGTTACAAACACTTGTATCTAGAATATATTACCAATGCAAAATACAATGAATAATCAAAAGAGTTCACCTAAAAGCAGCAACTTCAGCTCACGATTATTTTCCTTCTCTCTTCTTAGTATTGCATCTATTTCTCTTGATATCCTTCTGCCTTCTTTTTCTTCAGGAGACGTGTAGCAACACTCGTCCATTCTTGTCTAAGTTCACTAGGTGCTTTTCATGAACAGTGTGCCGCTGAAATGAGTGTATTGTGTTTATCATACCAGGTCATCCTTCTCGTTGGAATGCCGGTGTGTTAATCATTCTGCCATAACCAGTTAGTCAAACATGACAGGAGGCGGGTGTTGGATGGTGAACATTGTCAAAAAAAAGAAAAGAAAAAAAATCCAATGTACTTAGAGCTGGTTGTTGTCACAAAATAAGAAAATATATTGGTATTAGAGGATTTTAGTTTTTTTTCAATCCGGAATAATAAACAAGTTGTCATCTTTGTGTAAAAAAAAATCATCTTTATGACCGTAATTTTTAACTGCCAAAAGTGAAAACAATAGAGCAGACACCTTTTAAAAAATTCAGAATGACTCACAGTGTGCCTAAAGTCAGACAACAATTTGTACATTTTATTTCTCTGAGCCTAGCTGCTTTGTTATACCTAACAAGGAGAAGTCTGAAAAACATGTAAAATTACAAGTTATTCATATCAATCACAGACACTTTTCATAAAGAAGAAAAAATCAGAGACAGTTAGGGCATTCTGGGTGAATCAACAAATTCAAATCCACTTCAGAGAAAGATGGTCCTGAATTGAATCTGTGGCAGGAGCTAAAGATAAGGGTGATGATAAGGAGGCCTTCCAATCTCAGATATTTGGGGCTCAGCAAAAGTAAATAGATGAGGGTTGTGTAATTTTACCAGCAGATTATTAATATATTAAATAACTATAACTGGAGGTTATAGTTAATTACCAGGTCATTCAAATCAAGGGTAAAACCAATGAATGATTATTAGTTAATTGATAACTGAAATCTGTTTTACTTACGAAATTTCTTTAGTATGTTTGGGGACAGGAAAGGGACAGGAAAATTACCCAAAACTCCACTTTACCAGGTGAAACACCTTATGGTTTTTCTCATCTGCTTTAAAGCAGCCTGATTCCTCAGCGAACACAGACACTTCTCAGGAGGAGGGGGTAGCCACGTTCTGTGGCTTTAGCTGAAGACTGGTGTATCTCGCCTAACAGACCAGGAGGTCACAGGGAAAAGAGGACAGGGAGAGTTTGCGCCGTGGTTTAAAATCGACACGGCTCGCTTACATCATTTGAAATGTGATCTTCAACACCAGTGAGAACATAAAACAAAGTTTATTGGTTTGGTGTTTCTTTATTGAAAATATTAACACTGTTCAAAATAAACATAAAATATCATTCTAAAACACTCCATGCAGTGATTTATTTTATTTACCACCTCTGAAAGCTGTAAGAAGGAAAATATGGTATTTCTCCTTAACTAAAACATTCCTTGAAATTGTTGAAAAGAAACAGTATTCACTAGGATGTTAGATTTTTTTTATGAAACTATAGTAACCAACAACTCCATCCTTGTTTATACCAGCATCTTGATAAGCAGCAGTTGAAGGAAAATAGTCTTTCACTTATTTGAAGACAACTTAGATGTTTTCTGTGTAAGGAAATTCCTTGGCATGTGAAGGCATTTATGCTTTTGGGCTTATTCCCACTTCTTTTGCCTGGAGTAATCACTCTTTAAATGACACTTATAGTAAACAACTCTTAAATACAACCTAAATTTGAACCTATTTAACCTAAGTCCAACAGATACTACAGAATGACAGCACTGGGCTCATTGTCTGGAAGTTGTCACCAGAGCCAAAACAATGGAAATCAGCCATGAAAAACAGTTGTGGTGGGTTCTAATATCAAGGTGATTTCAGGAAACCATGTATCAAACCGTGCTGGTGAAGAGTCCCAGTTTTTGTTGAAAAACAAACCACTGGACTTTGTTTTCCAAGTTTCAAGATATTTCACTTCCCATCCAGCTTTCTGTATTCAAAATGTCAGGATTCTTGTTGAGTTCCAAGCTTTATAGAGTAGCCCAAAAAACATGCTAATTTTGGGTCCCCCAAAAGAGGCGCTGGACTCCGGTTTCAGCTCTGCAACTCCTTCAACACAGCGATAGAGCTGCTTCCTTCCCACTATCATCTCAATCCTCATTACCATGCAGGGGACCAAGACATCTTGCCTGGTCAAGCAGGCCAACAATGACCTTAAAGACTCCCCTTTTCAGAGTAATAGGCCAGTATTGGGTATTGCAGGCTAACAAAGACCTCAACGACTCCCCACTGCTAAGGGGTGGACCTGTTCTTTTGGTTTAATTTGCATGTTTTCTAAGCCACAACAAGGCACTGTTGGGCTACTCTATAAAGCTTGGAACTTCAGCTTTTAACTTGGAAAATAAAGTCCTGTGTTTTTGTTTTTTTTTTTTTTTCTTTTTCCACTTTTTGGAGCATGTATCACACCAAGTTGGTGTCCACTTGATAGGCTGTGTCATTAGTTGGCGCCCAGCTCTACTTTGTAAGTGTAGTGAAGAGTAAATGTAATTCATTTGAATCCTGGGGGAGATTAAATATAACATTTGAATTTAATACTCATAGCATTCTAGAATGGGTAGGAATTTTAGGGGTTAACACATCTCTTTATGGATGATAAAATTATCTGTAAAATCTGTGAAACATCATGTCTTCTTTCTAGTCTACAGAAGTGAATAAGCATTTAAATGGTTACAGAAAATTATATCTTTCACGCAATTGAAGACAAATCGGATGTTTTCAGTGTCGGTAGCACAAGTGAAGTGTGTGTAGAGGGGATTGTCCTTCGCTTTGTAAAGCTCAGTGAACATCTGCTGGATGAACGTCTTTGCTGCTTCACCATCACACTGAGGTCCTGTGAGTTTGAGATGAGTTCAAAATCAACATCAGTTGATGGATAACTTCCAAATTGAATACATTCAAGATAATTTAACATGGTAACAATCATATGAATTATAGAGTCCAATGATTCAATGTATAACATGTTTTGTAAATGTTATTCTTAAAAAAGTATTCTTCATCGACTTTTTATATCAGCTTATATCCAGGTCTTCTCCCTCACATGTTTCGAGAGAAAATTATTCATTTAAAATCAAGCGTAAGTTATCCTCAGTTACTCTTTTTATTGAAGCAATTGTATCTTTGCTGGACTTTATTTACTGTTTGATATTAGGTACAAAACATAAATACTTATCGAACTAACTATATACATTTTTAACAGTTGTTTTTTCTAAAGCAATGCTTACAATTTATTTTTAAATATTAAATAGGACATAAAATTTTTTAATTGTGCACTTTGGAATTTGATGTCACATTTAATTTTGTAATCATGTAAAGGATGAGGAATTTAAGAAATGGAACATTTTTTTAATAGAATATCCACATTAATGTAGAGTATGTAAGGGATCACACTACAATGATTATGAAAAACATTTCGGGTATCCCATCTTGGTGTTTCGCAACCCCTGATGGGTCACGTTTCCACTTAAGGAATCCTTGCTCTAGATCAGACTTTTAATTTGGGTGCTTCATCTTGCCACCTGCAGCCCTTACAGACTCTAAGGTTGATTCTGAGAGAAAAAAAAACATATAGCCGTTGTGTTTTTCTCACTGCAAATCAATCTAGGTTTCTTTTTCTGAGTGTAGAGCCACCTTGCTAATGAAGATCCTACTCACATTAAGATTGGTACTCTATTGAAATGGAAAACATAGAAAACCAAAGAGTGTAGAATATAAACAATCTGAGAAAGTTAAAATAGAATAGTTATAAATGGAAAGGGATCACATGTAATCACATCAAAATATGGGTTCAAATATTTGGACTAATGTGGGAACTTTTATCTGGGAATGAATGAATATCTTCATTAACTGATAACTGCAGCAATGCATACTCATTAGGAAAATTCTAAAGATTCATCAATAATGGCACATCAAACAAATCAATAATTAACATTTTTCTATAAAATAGTTTCAAGCACAAATCATATCTTTTTCTTTTATTTTAAAGATAGAGATTTAAAGAAAGAAATGACAGGATGGATCTGTAATGAAAGAATATGAAGCAATACATCAATTACCATTGAACTTTGGGAAGTGCGTTGCCAAGTGTGATGTTTTGATTTTCTCCTCAAGTAGATCTGTTTTGTTCAAAAAGAGGATGGTAGAGGTGCTCTTAAACCAAATGGATGAAATTATGGTCTTGAACAGGGCAAGACTTTCAGCCAGTCGATTCTAGAACACAAATGGGTATAGTTTAATCAAATTCAACGTATAACCTATTTGAAAGTGCAACATAGAAAATAAAACATAGAAACCATTGAACTAAAACGTACAATCTCCTGACTCTCAAAAAGAACTTGATCGTATTCACTAAGTGCTGCCAGGAATATGATGGAGGTGACATTTTCAAAGCAGTGAATCCACTTCTTTCTTTGTGAACGCTGGCCACCCACATCCACCATCCTATAAAAAAAAGATGTTTATTTTATAAAATAAAGCTTCACAAAAGACCTTAGCATAAAGCTTTTGTTTTGAGAATTCCTTTTTGTTCTTTACAGTTACACCAAGTTACGGGGAATAAGTAGGGAATCATACCTGATGATAACTTTTTGTATTTCAAATGGGTACTCTATGATGCCGGTGGTGGCAACCCTGGCCCTCAAGACATCCTGCAGAGTTGGAATGTACCCTGGGGCTGTGATTCTGTTTATGTCACTTAGAAAGCTATGAAGTAAAAAGAATTCAAGTGAAATATGGCAATAAAAATATTAAATAAAGCTGCAACATCATTCATAAAGTGCTATAATATTTGCAGAAGAAACTATTGTGTGCTGATTAAAAAGGCACATACTGTAACACTTTCCCTTTTTGTTCAATTTGGAGAACACATTTGTGGCAAAGCCTTTACTTGTTAACTGAAAATCTGATATATTACGTTAGTTCGGTTCCCTTTAGTTTATTTAACTTTAATCTTGAGACATTTCACACAAAAAGAAACTCAGTTCTTTCAAGTCATGGTGATAGATTTACAGATACTCTATTTTTATCCCAGTGATCAAACAATGTAGTCAAGTTCAGTTCAGATTTCCTAGAGTTACTAACTTCCAGCATTAATTCCTCCTTGACTAGCCTGTAATAAATGTGGACTATATTCCACTTTGTGTAATTGGCTTTGCAGTAATCTCTCATACTGATCATCGAAAAGTAATATTGGGGAAGAGAACTTCTCCTTAATGGGAGAAAACATCCAGCTAAACGTCACTCAGAATGAGCAGGTTTAGCTCATTCATGTTTACTTCGCTAACTGTTTAAAAACAAATTGATTTGGGGAAGTAGTAATAACAGTGAATGTTTTACTTTTATTGGAGTCACATTATTATAAAGTATTAATACTCTAACTTGAATATAATTCCTGGCTATCCTACCACCAACAAGTAACTTTAATGAACAAAAATATTTCAACAAAAAATGAAGCAGGCAGACACATATTTCCTGTTGCTGTCAGTGATTTCTTTTTTCAACACGAACATATAAAAAGAAACAGTTTTCTCTGCTGATATATTTTCAATCAAGGTAATTTGACCCAAATAAAAAAAAAATCAAATATAATTTGTTTATTGGTAGAGTGATGAAGAAATTATCTCTTTTTTCATCTTGCCAGTACCCACTGACAGTTGCTTTAAATGTACAAAATTTAAGGTAAACTATTTTCTTTTAGATTATCTCTTTATACTCAGCTGGACACAAAAAAGTCTAACAGTTATGTGATTAAGACAAGATTCAAAAAGCATATATAAACAGAAAATGTTCATAAAAGGTCCTACTGTAATACACAAACACACACACCCACACACAAATTATATATTAAATTGCTCCTCAATTTTATAATCGCGTAAAAGTTTTGTGTATGAAAATTCAAAAAGCTCACTATTTAGCAGAGTCTGACAGCTGGTACTCCCTCCTCCGGTCGTAACACTTCTGTACTCCAAGGTCACTCCATAATCGCTTAATAGCATCCACTTGCCAGGATGCTAAAGTATGGACCATGGTTACATCCACAGGTATCAGTTTTTCAGCATATTCCTAAAATAAGAGAAACATCCAGATTTGAATTAACTAAAAACTGTTCTTGTCAATCCTGTGGGCTTAAACTAACATGGCCTATTTGTACATTTTTTTTTTTTTAAATGTATTCGGCCCTCAAAAGCCAAAGACACATATCAAAAAGGGCTAATTAAAAATAGACATTAACTTCATAGCAGATAGAAGTATCTGAAGATATTTGATACTTTTATTCCTATTGTCAACACAAACTTAAATATATAGAGTCAGTCTCACCAAATAACATTTTTCCTCTAGGCACATTTAACAGTGCCCAGAGTTGACCTGGTGTTTTCAATCCAAGCTTCCATAAATGCATCTATGGATGCATGGATGGAAGTAATGGATGGCTTTCATAAATAAATATGCAAATTTAGAAACAAAGTGTTTGTGATAATGGGCATCACAGATGTGGGTAATAAGAAATTAACAAATTAAAGAATTTATAACAAATCCTAAATTTAAAAAAAATCGCTGGCATAACTGGATGCTAACTAATGATAGCAAACTTGATCTGATAAATAGAATAGTTAGAGAGGTTTTTACAGGTAACATTTGTCACCTCTCCTTTAAATACTTAAGCCCCTGTCACACCTTGAGTATTTAGAGCAGTGTATGCCCAACAAATCTGGCAAAAACGCTGGCCTACATTGGATAAGTTATGGGTATGTTTTGTATAAGTTATGAGCATGCTGAATTATGCTGAAACATGCTGGCACAATTCGACATATGGTGAGTATGTTTCTCCCGACGTATGCCAGCATATGCTCAAATGTGGGCCATAACTTATAGGTAAATTATCTGATCGTCGACATACGTTAAGTGTAAGTTACTAAGTTGTGGTGTCTAGCTTATCCAAAATCTACAAGTAACTTGTGCATAACTTATGCGTTACTTATCTCCAATGCATATCAACGTTATTTGACATGTTCCAGACGACCACTGAATTATGTCTCTAATTTACAGCTACTGTTTAATGTCATATTGGCAGCCTTTTGGTATAAAATGGGGTTGACAGGAGGAAACCGTCAGCCCTCCTCCAGACGCCTCAGGATGCCTGGTCTGTGCCCTCAGGACACTGGCTTGTGCATCATTTCATGGGCATTACCCTGCCATGCGTTATGCATAAGTTAGGCTGTTGTTGGACATAAGTTCTGGACTCATTATGAATACGCTTTGTATATGCCCAAAATTAAAAAAATACATAGAAAGTTTAGCCTATGCCAGCATTTTAGGAGGTTCTGGGATGTCGGGCATACGCTGGCTAAATCGGCAAGGTGTGAAGTGGCCCTTAGCAAAATCATATAAAAAGAAACNTGCCAGCATTTTAGGAGGTTCTGGGATGTCGGGCATACGCTGGCTAAATCGGCAAGGTGTGAAGTGGCCCTTAGCAAAATCATATAAAAAGAAACTAACACTGGCTTTCTCCAGTTGTTCTAATAGCCTGTGTCATAATTAAAAAGGGTAAATGAAGAGACACCAATGGCAGTCACACAGCTATTAGCAAGTTACCCTGATAATGAAGCAGTATTTTTTCAGAGGTGAAAATGCACAGAAAATTTTTTGTGCTACTCCTACATTTGAATTTTTTTTTTCCTGTTTGTTGCTCCAAAATGATCCCAAAACATCTGATGGCACATTTTAAAAAGTGTACAACAACTTACAATGTTTTGGTCATCAAGATAGTCGATCTTTAGTGCACTCATGGCTTCAATCAGTGCCTGGATGGCTGTGATGATATTCTGGCACACTAGCTTATTAAAACCTTTTCTGTCCGATTCGTCGTATCCCTTGCCATGTATGATCCTCATCTGTTTGATGAAGGTGCTCTTCCCGCTTTCACCAGGGCCTAGGAAAATTTCCAAATTATGAAAGGCAGAAAAAAAGAATGAGCTTTATACTTGAATCAATACCACCAGTATACACCTGGAAAAAAACAATTTGTGAACAATAGTGATTCCTTACTTTTTGAGCTATCGACTTCTATAATACAAAAAAGAAAACTTTTTTCTCAAGAAAAAATGCTTAAACATTTGGGTTTTTGGAGTAGTTAAACATGGGGGCATTAGCTCAGGCCCAGGTAGTTTATTTTACATAATTTAAAACCTTTCTGTTTAGATATATAACTAGTATTCGAGTTGAGGGGGGATGAGGTGGGATAGAATCCTCCTTCTTAAAAAAATCTTAAAAATCCTCCCCCATCTTAAATGACCATCCCCCTGGCCTATACCATCCCAACCCTGTGACATTTTATCACTCAATGTGTAGATTTCTAATTAACAGTAATGGCAATAATATTGCACTCTCAACATATGGCAGTCTATGCGCTTCCGAATAGTGACCAAATTACAGTGGCCCAGAGGGCTCATGCAATTTCATTTTCAACCTCAGTGGCGCAACCAGCGGAGCAGGTGACGGTGTTCTGAACAGCATCAGGGTCAAGCTGCAAAGAAAACACGATTTGAGGGAATGTGAAAATAAGGAGGGGATGGAATCTTCCGCATGTTCCAGGTTTTAAGTTGCAGAGATCTCCCTCCCCTGCTTAGTTTGAAAAATAATTTGTGTTTACTATTATGCAAGTTTTTCCACATTAGACAAAAATTCATTTTAATCAAGCACTTTAAGACACGTGTTAAGATTGGTATCTTGAAAGAACTTCCAAATGTTATGTTAATGTCTGGCCAATGGTAATAATGAATTGAATGTTGACATCTGACTGCAAGGTCCCTCGTGTGACTTGCAGAATTCCTGTCGTCCGATCAATGGTAAATATAGTTCATTGGACCTGTTGGAGTAGTTTTAACTCATTCATTGCCAGCATGTAGCCTAGCTTACTTTAAATTAGGCAATAGAAGCAATACTGATTTTATGATAAACAGTATTTTATAAAATAAATACTGTAAATGAATATTTCAAAGGTGAGTAAAATTATTAGCTTTTATATATGCTTATTATATATTTAGGCTAATTTGAAAATCGAATTTGTAAGCAGTTTTTTCAGATTTTGGAAAGTATTTCAGCTGCTTCTATTTAAATAACTGAATTTGAATAAAAATATACTTGACTTGAAAGGATTCAGATATTCATTTGCTATGTTTTGTGAGGTTTTGTTCCAAATCTTAATAGATTCATTGCCAAAAGATTTTTCAAAGTAAAATCAAAGAAGTGGCCGACCATGACTATGAAACTGATCCCAGTGGGAAAATGTATGCTCTGCATTTGTCCGTAACTATATAGGGGCAGTGATAGCCATGCCAGTCCAGGGACTGACTGCAGTTCTACAGTAAGGTGCCTTGGTCAAGGTCAATGACAGGCGTACCTGACGTCTAACAACCATACCATGCATATTGCTTTAGGTTAATAGACTATATTAATTAGGCCACAAAGCTTCTAAAAAAAGAAATTCCACCATCCCCCTTCTTTTTTTGTTACACTTGACTACTGTATATACAGTACACTGCTTCTTTTCTTAAATTACAGTCAAATGGTAAGATTCAAAGAATTCATTTATTTGTCTTAATTATGCTTCCAGCATTGTGTTACAGTTTGTAGCACTGTTGCCCTGCAGCAAGAGGGTCTTGTTTGGTTTATATAAAACTAAAAATTGAATGTAGTTTTCAGAAACAAAAAATATTCCTAATTAATGGTACACACAAATTAAGCCATTTCTTTATATTTCTATACTGTTAAAAAATTATAACATTTTCTTTAGAAGCAGCACATAAGTTATCAAGAAGGACAGAGAGGGTTGGACTGACAACAGCAATTAAATGCATTGTGGTATTCTGAGGGATATTGCATCATTTTAAGAAACTTTAGGACTAAATGTTTTTATTTTAATTAAACTTAAACGACAGGATTTTTTTAAATCATTATTTTTTCTGAGCTTTATGAAGAAAAATAATAATTTTAATATTGTTGGGATATCTGATCTCATCTTGTTGCTCAAAGCACAATTTTATAAGACAAGATCTTCAAAGCATGTTCTTCTATAATATCCTGACCTATTTAGAAAACATCTATGGGTTAATCCCCAGAAGTCCAGGTCTAAAGACATGGCTATGTACAACACATTCACTTTATTCAATTTTACTGTGGCTTTTAGTCTTTTTAGGGTGGTGTTTTTTTATATCATATCTAAATTTGCTCAGACTCTTATCCACCTGATTCAGATGATTGCAGCCTGTAATATGCAATCAGCGGAATCAGTTGTGTTGAACAAGAGAAACATCTAAAACATGCAGGGAGATCTATCTGCATGTCCAAGGTTGAAAAATATTTTCTATGTTATGTCTATCTACAGACTAGAATTTTTGTCACTTTTTCTTTAGTGTCTAAACTACTATTAGATTAGATGGGAAGTGTCAAAAAACAACAGTTTTCAACTTTCCACAGATTCCCCATCGGACTCCAGTCCTTGAGGGACAATGTCCTACATACATCAAGCGTGCTTAAAAACAAATATTTGTTCATTAGCAGAGTTCTGTAGAGCTTGATACTATATTAGTGCAGCAGTTTAAGCACTTCATACAGGTGTAAAATGTTTAAGTAGAGTGGCTGCAATTAATTGACTTTGAGACAACTGTTCAAGTTCTGTTCTGATACATTCAGTTTAGTTCATTGATATATGCTCATGGTTTGATTTACATGTAAACCTCTTGAATAGGCTCTGGGTGTGTGCTAAGGGTCAGTGTCCAGCTAGAGGAAGTGATCTATTAAGCCCATTACATAGTTTCTCTTATAGCCACAGGAAAATAATGAAATTTTGCTCTGCACAAGATTTGGGCAGAGCCTCTATTTTTTCCTCACAACATGTTCAAGAAAAGTTGTGTGATTGGCATTACTAAGAAGAAAAAGTGGCAATGATTTGCTTAGTTTTCTATGTGCAGCATTCACCCCATATTACAAGGGAAGTTATAAAGAAAGTTATCTAATGGATTGTTTCTTGCCACTTCAAGGACAAGAGTACATTGCTCAGTTCTTGGGGAATATGGAACAGGCTTAAGACAGGGCTTTG